CCTTTTACAAAGAATGGTAGGTCTTGCAAATCTCGGGACGAGATTTCTATAAAGGGGAAGGGTTGTAACACCTCTGTGTTAAGCATCACAATTTGCACTTACATTTCATGAGCATAAGCATCATCCAAGCATTCATAAATATGAGCATATGAAATTTCATCTCATTCTTATACTTTGTCACATGAAATGTTAATTTATATATATATGCTAATGCTTACATATGCTATGATTTACATGTGACCAATGTATAAAATGTTGTGGGACCTTAGGAGTATGTTAAACATGTTTAGAATATCACATGGAACAACTTTAGTATTCATGACTTGGACCCATTTGGCCTCTAAGTCATGGTTATAGTGTAGGCTTTCATTTTCAAGTTGTATGTTTGACCTAAGTTGAACTATAGCATAAAGTATTTGCATGGCAGTGCACCCTTAAGCAAAGTTGTAGTACTTGACTAGGGTAATAACTTTTATTTTTGCGTCAAGGTCTAATTCAGTGCATAGCATGCTCAAAAATAGCTCACAAGTTTCAACAAAATGCTATTTTGGACTTACAAAATTTTTCTAAGTCTAAAACGAGGATTTTAGTTTTAAGTGCAGCACTTTAGGGTTTTGTAGATTTCAAACAATTAAGAATTTGGGGATTCTTTCTAAAGCAAAGTTGGAAATCTCATGTAGCTCTACAACTTTCATTAAGGAAGTTTTTGCTAATTTGCAACGGATTAGGAGTAATTGGATCACCAATTCACGCTGTCAGTTGACGAAGGCAGTGCCTGAACCGCGCCCGCGCGCTCGGCAGTGGCCGACCGGCCACAGGCCGCGGCCGCCCCGTGGTGGCCGTATGCCGGCATTGGCTCGGTCGGTCAGGCCAACATGCGCCCTTAAGTGCCGTGCACCCACCGCGCTCTTTCACTCTCGCTCTCTTGCCCTCTCTGTGCCTCGCCTTCGCAGCGCTTGTGCAGAACCGCAGCGCCGCCGTCGCCGCCGTACCTCCGCCGAGATCGCGCGCAACCGCCACCGCACCACCATCTAATTCATCTCGCTCACAGCTCCACCACCACCTCCTCCACCTTGCCGACCCGCTTGCACCACCATTCGAGCAAGGGTAAGGCCGCATTTTGCCTCGCCGCAGCCGCCATTGTCACTGGAACGCCGCCGTGCTAGCGGTTCACCGTGGCTCCGCTGTTCCGCCGCACCGCGTGCCTTCGTTTTCTTTGGTCCAGCACCGCGCTAGGGTCTAGCAGCTTAGGCCGAGGTTAGGGATGACGCTACCGCGTGACTTGAGCTAGAAAAGTGATAAAATTGTGATTCTAATTTTGCTGGTCTTTTGTTGGCATGCTCTAGCTAGGAAAAATATTAAACCTACAGTAAACATACTTTTATTATGGTCTTCATATTTAATCCTAATTAATTGGTAGTTTCTAGTGAAATTAATTGAGGTAAAAATACATAACATATGATCATGCAAATTTTTACACAGTATTCTTATTCTTGGAGGAATGTAAGAAAAATATTAAATCTGTTGTTTGACACTTTTCACTATGCTAAACTATTTTTGCTAAAATTAGCCTATGTAACTTGTCATTTTTGTAGAGGTAGTTGTACTTATCCAAATGGCATGAAATTTGTACAGTGAACTATTGAGGTCATTTGTAGGCTACTATAATTTTATCAGAATTTATTGAGCTTTGAAAATATTTATCCCTTAAATCAACCTATTATCTAAAGAAATTAATAAATGAATATAAATAATTTAGTTATGTTTAACCATGATGTTTTCTTGGGTACTTGTGATACATATGATCTGTTGATATTATTAATAAGGCTTAAAAACAATTGGTTGTATGCAACTAGTTAATTATTGCTTTATAATTCAACTAGATGGCTAAATGTATAGTTTCGGTTGAGTTGATAATTTTATGCTGATAATGGTCTTGTCTGAAAAACTTGTTAATAACAAAGTTGTATATAACTTACTTATCTACCTTGTGTTAAATTTTCATAGTCATAGGCCTTATGGTTTAAGAATTATGGTTGTTAGAAGTCTGCTGTCAGAAATGCTTGCTCTTGTCTGAAATATTGTTAAGCTACCTCCACTTATAAAGACATGCATAATCATTGGAGTCACATTATTTTTGGTTTACGACGGGTAAGTCTAGCTGAGTACCTTCTTGTACTCGGGTTTTATTCCCATTATTGCAGATGATACAGTTTATCACGGCTATTGTAAGAACTGCTTCTGTCCCGCCGTGGACGAGGAGTGAGCCCTAGGTAGGCATCTCTTATTAATCCTTCTTATATGCTTTTGTGGGAGTTTGATCACGAACTGGCACTATGTATTTGAACTATGATGGCCGATGTTAGTTTCAAACTTAAATTTGCTTCCGCTACTATTTACTGAACTTGGTTTGTAATAACCTTAATTCGTACTCTGATGAATGAACTGTATTTGTGAACTTTATGTAACATGTGACATGTATGTTGAATCATGTACGATCTTGGTTGTATGTTGATGGTTAATCGAGACCCGTCGTGGTACTTGACGGACTACCGGGTTTATATGGGCTCAAGTATGACAGTGCGACCGCTTGCGGGCTGCCATTGTACTTGTGCTCTTATAAATTGGTCGGTTTTGCTACACCGCCGGCCCTAGGGGAAGGGGCTCGCCGTTGCCATTGGCGTCTAGAGGCGCCGGCGGCCATGGTCGAAGGGGCTCGCCGCTGCTAATGGTCGCTGGGGAGGGTGCGCCGCCGTCGGTGGAGTCGGGATTGGGAGGAATCGCCATCACCAGATGCGACTGGCCTCTGGACGCAATCACGCCGCTGCCAGTGTGCCGCGGGGCCACCTCCGTCGGTGTGCATATGGTAGTGCGGAAGCCCGACGCCGCCGGTCATCATCCGCCTGTGGAAAAACCGCCGCTGCCGCCATCTGAATTGGGAAGGGAGAGAATAAAGGGGAGGAATGACAAAATTAGGGTAAGATGGTTCTTTTATATGGGATCATTGACATTTGCAGTTGCGGCACAGATATTATGGTTAATGTTGCTGTAGGTTATGGTTGGTAGTAATTTTGCTGTTGCGCATGAATCGTTATGGTTGCAGGGGATTTGGACGAATGCGGGCCACGACGCGCTGTGCTCGGTCCAGCGCTCTAAATATTACTTAAGCGTAGGGTGCTCTCTCTCTATATATATATACATATATATATATATATATATATATATATATATATATATATATATATATATATATATATATATATATATATTCTACACCTTAGGCGTAGAATACTATTCTACACCAAGTCATTATACCGAATAAAATTAAAATGCAGTTCAAGAGTCGCGTGTCAAGTATTATTCATTTTATGATTTCATGATACCATGATCTTGGCATATATATATATATATATATATATATATATATATATATATATATATATATATATATATATATATATATATATATATATATATATATATATATATATATATATATATATATATGGAATAGATTAGTATTAGGGATAGATATAGATGTATACATGTATTTAGCACCTGAGTGGACCCTTTTGTCCTTCTGTCATTTTGCACGGTACGTACAGGCTTGAGTACGACATTTGGAGGAGAGCCCTAACCTATCGAGCGACCCGACGCCATCGCGACTTCCCGCGGCCGCCATCACGACTTCCCCACCGCGATCTCCGCGCCGGCCATGGACGGCCAACCTCCCGACGACCTGGCCGCGCCCGGTTCAGGGATGGCCGTGCCGGCATCCGGGATGGCCGCGAACGGCTTAGGGCTGGCCGCGCCCGGGTCTGGAGAGGCCGCAGGGGCCTCTGCCCTGGCCGCGTCCGGGTCTGGCACAGGAGCGGCGGCGGCGTCCAGCTTGCCTGCCGGCAAGGACTCACGTACGTACGAGCGAATCACCGAGCGGCACAGCAAGGGCTCACCGAGCGGCACGGCAAGGACTCACGTACGTACGAGCGGCCAGGGAAATAGCGAGCGGCACGGCAAAACATCAGAAGGGCAAATACGACCACTCAGGTGCTAAATACACGGCTAAAAAAGAAAAAAAATACATCAGTCCCAAATATAAAATTGAACGCGACGATTGGAGTCCAAATATACAACGGCGAGATGGGTGCGGGCGGGGTTTACGCGGCGGCACGGGTGGGTGCTGCTGGGCAGTAGGGTTTACTGAGCTGGGAGCCTGCGAAGGGAATGAATGGCCCAATGGGGGCAAAGCGAGCACGAGCGCGGGCTCAATTACGAGTGGGCCTGAACTCTATTGGGGTTTCCGCTTTTACGATTTCTGTTCTGTTTTTGAGTGCTGCGTTACTCTATTGGGGTTTCCACTTTTACGATTTCTGTTTTTGAGTGCTGCAACGCGAGAATCCAAATTCAGCTAAAAACCAGACACATTACATGTAGAAATTGAGTTGCACCGATTTTTAAAGTTTTGAGGGCAAGTCACTAGAATAAAGAGAATACAAATTCGCTTCAGCATTTGTGACGCATAGCATCCCCCCTGGCTCCTATGAGGGCTATAACAAACAAATGCTAACTCTTCAGGATTTGTGTTGCATGATTCAACTGAGTCTTGAGTTTTGTCAAAATGATGAACAAATGGATGTCTCAAAAGCCTTAGTCCTTTAATTAGCTTATCCTAAACTTCATATATTTAAAAATTAAAGAAAATGGAGGGAACATGACTTTTGTACACCGACAAAAGGCAATCAGAAACACAATCTCACATAGGTTCACCTAGTAAGTTCACTACTCTAAAGACTCCAAACAGTATAACTTCCTTCGTAGCAAAAAAAACTGATGACTCAACCGGTAAAAGCAGGTCGTAAATAGATTTTACAAGGGGTCGATTCATCTGACCATCACGGCGTCAACCATTCATTTCATGTGATCTGATCCTAGTGAAATCAGCTATCATAGCGATCATGAAGTCCAGGCATTATTTTATGCAAGGTTCATGATGAACAGCTTCAGGCTTCGTAGAACCGGAGCTCCACCATGGCCTCCTGATGCTTGGGTGAATACCACGCTGTGGCCTTTGCTGAACCAAGGACCTTGAGAGCCCAATCAATTGCAAAGATTGGATCATCCACTCGAACAAAATGGTCCTGGCTTCTGGGGTCAATGGCAACAGAGGATTCAACACGAAAACTGAAGGGGCCAACTATCTGCAGCAAGACAAGGAAGAGCTTTATTAAAAAAAAAGGGCGTACTCAGTGCAGAGAGCTCCCGCTCTGTGCGGGGTCTGGGGATGGGTGTTAGTGGCAAGCCTTACCCTCGCCTGTGCAATGCGAGGAGATCGCGACTCGAACCTGGGACCTTCCGGTCACAGGCGGTAAGACTCTACCGCTTGCACCAGGCCCGCCCTTCAAGGAAGAGCTTTATTAAGACGAGATAAATTCCATATGATACCTTTCACACAAAACGATCATCGTGTTTATTCTTATAATTTATTGATGGCAGGTAATCAGAGAGAAATGGCCAAAAGATAACAACTCCTAGTATGTTCTAAACTGATACCATCTGTTACTACCATTATCGTTGGCAATGCTGTACTCATCATAACAAATTTAGCCCCTGGCATTTCAGTAGATGGAATTTGTTCCTCAACAAGAGTAATCAGTGGCTCAAGTCATAAGCACTAGGATTTGCATCAAACTGTAACTAATAAACCATAGCCATAGTTTACATTACGGCACAGAAGATAAAGAGTCAGGGTGTTTGCGAATCTAAGCATAGCCTAGACTTCAAATAAGATTAAGCTCTCCTGCAAGGCAGTCATTAATATTATTAATATTTCCTGAACTATCGTGGTTAGTCCCAAGTACCTCTGTTTTTTTTCATTACTTTTGAGCACAATAGATTGAGATGTAAGCAGTAGCTACCAAAGTACCCATAGGAAAGAAGACAATACCCCAATCAGTGGTTAGAATTTCTAGTTAACAGGTATCAGAGAACAATGAAATGAAAAAAATGAATTACCTGTTGTTGAAGGGAAACAGTCACATCAGGACAAATATCGCAGAATGTCTCTACATCAGGTCTTCTAGAGAAGAAGAAATCTTGTGCAAGGCGAGAAGCACCACATAAGAACAAGGAGCCAGAGGTGATATCAAATTGGGCACTTGCCCTAGTCAAATCCAGAAAAAGCCTCTGAAAATTCCCATATTGAGCAGTGAAAGTAACAGAAGCAAAGAGGTCTGCAAAGGCAGCACATTTATTCCTTTCATCAAACATTCTAAAAGCATTACTCTTTTGTGTTTCATCTCGTATAGCCACTCTCCTTGAACAGTTTCCCAAATATCCACTGGCTACTGCACCTGAATAAAGGAAAGGAAGGAAACTTGAGAAACATTGCTGATTACCTATAAATCCAATACAGTGCTATTAAACTGATAACCATTTCACATAGTGATGCAGAGACGCACTAAATGTCAGCACCAACGGAAAACTAGGCAGTAATAAAGCATATAGGGAAATCAAGCCGTTCATGATACTGTATACCAGCATCTATATGAAGTGAAAGATATTATTGGCTTCCAAAGTCTAGTAATATCACAACAAAATTTTGAAAAGGCGCTAGGCACTGGTTGAGTGGCAAAGTGTCGGGCTACTTGGACCCCTAGGCAGTCTAGGAAGCAATTAGACACTAGGCTTGAGTGAGGTGTCTAGTACAGTAGTACCTAGGTGCCACCTAACCACCTAGGTGAGGGCTAGGTATCCGATTTTTTATACAGTGACCTCAGCAATGGGAATCAGAAGGACTAAGTTACGATCAGGTTACACTCTGGAAATCCAGGAAATGAATGGTGTGTCAATGAAAAGGTTTCTGAAGCAGTTTGAGGGGCAGCAACAGAACCTCCAAAGTCCAAGCAAGTGGATGCAAGGAATTTTTATTAAAAGGAGTATCAACAACAAATGGAAAGTGGACACTTACCAACGATACCAGTAAGAGAAACATGTGAATCCGAGAGAAATATATCATATGGCTGAACGTTTTTTAGCTTATCTTCTTTTTTCCTCCAAGCATCAATGCTTTTCTTGATGGAAATAGCCGCTTTAGCACATAGGCCAGGTAGCAGAGCAATAGGAACATCATCTGTTTTATCACCACCAAAACATTTTGGTTCACCACTATTCTGCTGCAATAATAGATGATAACTCAACCCAGAACTGGAGCCAACTGAAGCAAGGTCAGCCGATAATGACAATGGCACATCCCAATATGCTCCCTTTTTATCAACAAATAATCCAGGCCAAGATGCTTGGAGTGTAATATTATGATGAGGAAGCTGCAATAGATAAAGAGGTGTCCTTTAATCCAAGCATTTAGAACAGTAACAACATAAACTAGTTAAGTAAACTAAACATTCCCAAAAGAGAAAAGAAAGAAAGAAAAAAACAGGATAAAACTTCCACAAACCATTATCAACAGCTAGGCGCTCTAATCTATACTGAAACGGAACGTGAATTTATTGAGAAACGTAGTGCAAGCAACAAGAATACCCACAAATAACTAACTGTATACCAAATAGGTTAAGAGTGTCCAGATTTTTTGCCTCGTGGTGAAATATCGCTTTTCCTCGATTGCCTTTCTTGATATCAAATAACTCCAGCAGCAAAGTGGTGTCTGGTGTGATCAAGATTTCCGTGCCTACACCTAGAGACATAACATCATGCAAGTGTTTCTTCAAATCTTTGGTCCAAGAGGCCTCTTCCTGTCGATTTGCTAATTTCTCTTTCACGACAGACACAAGCTTGTTAACATTGATTTTCTCCAAGATGGTAGAAGACCTGAACAGATCACAACAGATTGACTGTTAACATGAGTTTGGTGAGAAACTTGTTGAACATTAAGTATAACCTCTACTAGATATCTACATTGGGCAGGCTATTTAGTCCATTAAATTAACCAAGGAGAAACAAAAAACTGAACAGTACTCTACTCCTCTCCCTCTCAGCGGGCAATGCTATACATAACAAACAAGAGACAGCAATGATAACCCATTTCAGGTCACTTAAAATCAAGTAATAATCAAATCAACTCGCATTTCATCCACTGAGACATCAATACTAACGAATATTGATAAGTGAGGCACATAATCCTAGTGCTAACATAATGATCCAAAATTAACCAATTTAAATTCATACATGTATCAAATCCAGGGTTATCTCAATCACACTATGCACACCAAGCCTACATTATAGAGTTGGCGCCTGACGCTACAAGATTGCAAGCAAAACATTGAGTGCCTCCCAACCGCAACATCCTAGGAGCAGCGGTACAAATATGTAATGGGTCTGGTTCGTTACCATACCAGTTGTCCGTGATGTAGAGGATGTGGGCGTGGTTGACGGAGAGGTCGTCGCGGGTGGCGGAGAAGGTGGGGACCAGAGGGGACGCCATGAAGCGGTGGAAGAAGTCGAGCTGCTTGGGGCGGGTGACGCGGTAGCCCCGTGAGAGCCCCAGCGGCAGGGGGTCCCCCGGGACGGGGCGCACCGTGCCCTCCATCGTCACCGGGGTCTCCGCGTCCAGCTCCCACCGCCCGTCCTCGTCCGACATCCATCGCATCCGCCGCAGCGACATCGGCGCCGGGCGGCGCTTTTTTTGAGCTGGTGGTCCTTCCGATTTCGCGTCGGCCGTCCGCGTCGGGGTGTACAAGCACAGTTGGTAGCCGCCTAGGTGTAGGTGGGTAACGTTGGCTGGCCCTGTTTGGCAGATGCAGATGGCCGGGGCGCCGGGCTGAGGGGTGAGGGCTCCCCTACCCGACTTCAGCTCAAGTTACTCTTTGGTTATTTTTGTAGAGGCTTTTCGGTCAGCTTCATTATAATGGTCACGTTCGACCGGTAGAATTTTGATCAAAATGGTTAAAAAATACTGTTCTGGATGAATTATGGTGAGAGAAAAATCACTATTTCAATTGAAAAAAGAATCCGAATAAACCAAATATAAGGTAAGCCGAACAAGTCAAATATGAAGTAAAGTCGGAGATTTGTCATTGGTATCTCACTGATATGTGAGACACACATAAGTCAATGACATGTGGGACAGGATGTCATATGTCTAATTTAGTAAAATTATAATAGCAGTCTTCAAATTTTAAGCCCTATTCAAATGAGCACAATGACTTCTGGAATAAAAAATAGTTAAACTGAAGTCTGTTTTGGGTTAGAAAATGAAGCCATTAGAATATGATTTTACCTAGCTTCTTCATATTTTGGAGAAACCCCAGCCCTAGAGGCTAAAAATTAAGCTGGCCATCCTGTCAAATCAAATGTGGAGATTCTCATGGACTTCAGGTCCTTGGGACTTCTCTACTCTTACCTTTTTAGCTCTGTTTCACCAAAATTCATTATGGAGCAATATAGTTTAAAGTAGGTAAATATATTTGGCATGCAGCGTAGCCCTATCTCTAAAACTACGAGATTTTCTAAGAAATGTCTAATATGCTCTTGGACAATGTTTAGTTTTTGGCAATATAGTTTAAAGTAGGTAAATATATTTTAAGTGAATATATTCATTGCTCTTGGCAATGTTTAGTTTTTGGACAATGTCTATATTTACCTACTTTAAACTATATTGCTCGTGGATTCATATGTTAGTCCACTTGCATCTCTATTAAGCAGGCTTACTTCCTCGGTCCAAAAAAACATATCTCATCGCTTTTGAAGAAATCAAAGAAGTACGAGCATTTATAATGAGTAATGAATATTTTTAGACTTATAGTAAAATATATTTTTATAATAAACATATTTAGATTTATAAATATTGATACTATTTTTATAAATCTAGTTAAACTTTAAAAGAATAATTACTCAAAAAGCAAGATGTGCATTCGAAAATATTTGATAAACAACCTCAGTCGCTGAGCTCCCTTCGAGTCGAGCCTCAACCAACCAGGAGCCGGATTCAATGACTTCACATATCAAAGTCACGTTGTAACTCTCCCTTAGTCTCCATCCTCCATCTAAGATAATACTCCGTAGTTCGTAGATTGAAGCAAAAATGCCTAGCGGCAGCTCACGCTCATGAGTAAAACTGGCAACCAACATAGTAATATTGCTAAACAATAGGTTCAAATTTTTTTTTTTTGCTAAACAACACAAATAACTCTATACTAAGTTTTTGGGCATTTTGTATATACACAAGTACACAACCCTAGCTTTTTGCAGTCCAATGCAGTACATTTTAGCTCTCAGCATGCAATAATCTACTACATGCAGCCATGGATCTTTCATATTTAAAAAGCAATTGGAGTGTAAACTACACTTGTTTGCATACACATAAGTGTGCGCAGATGTCTTCTTGCTATTTTCTTCCTCGCCTCAAATTTAGATTTCAATTTCTTAGTTTTTTTCCTTCCACTGTCTTCTCAAAATTCATTACCATGAGAGGGTAACGAAAAAGAAATTTCTGACGGATGATGTTACTATTCAAATGAACTTGCACTTTTTTTGGTTTCTAACTTATTTTGAACACCTATCAGGTGATAAAACACCATAACTACGGACTAAATGTGTGGTTCACTCAAAAATTGCTCCAAATTAAAATTTTGCATATGTCCATCAGACTATCGAGGCATCTGAAAGGGACCGTGACGTCTAAGAGGGGGTGAATTAGGCAACTTAAAACTCCAACTCTAAACTATGACCTCTTCCGGACCGCTCCGCGCCGTCTTCACTATCAAGCTTCCGACCAAAATGACGCGGGCCTTGTTTCCTCCGGTACACGGTGGCGGCCACACCACAAACGCGGTTGGTGTGATCTCGCAAGACTACAAGCCCCTCCGATATACAACAATAGTGCGCGCAAGCACCGAGTGGTAAGAGGTATGCAAACATCATTAAACACTAGGCTTAAACCTAGAGTAAGCGCATAAGCAGTGGTCTAATCAACCTAAGCACTTCGCAAAGCACCTATGCTAGTCACCTAATGAATCACTAAGCATTATGCAAGTGGAGATCACTAAAATGGTGTATCAACACCCTTGGTATGTTTCCTCAGCTCTCCACATTTCAAATGGCCGGTTGGGGGGTATATTTATAAGACCCATCGAGAAAGTAGCCGTTGGGGACGAAACCTAGCTTTCTGCTACTGACCGGACGCTGGTGTTGTCGTGACCGGACACGTCCGGTCGTACCGACCGTTGAAGCTAGCGCGTTGATCGGACTCAGCGCTGAGTCCGGTCACTACACCACAAACGTCCGGTCGCGTTGATCCTCTGAACCGACGGACATTCTTTGCTGGTGTAGTCCAATGTCATCCATCTGCCGCGTCCAGGTCATGCAAAGGTGTTGCCAAGATGATGAACGGTGCCATCGTCGCGTTCGGTCATGTTTCTTCTTCATTCGATCGCTTTCTTGGCGCTTGCATTTATCTCGGACTGCCCATCCAACGCGTCCGGTCCTAATCAAAAGGCGCTTGAATCACCTCTGCCATGCTTGTTTCTTCGCGGTCTTGCGTCCGGCTTGGTTCCCATCTTCGTGCTTGGACTATGCTTGATATCTTGTGTCTTCTCTTATGCTTCTAGGGTCTTGCTTATGGTGTTGATCGTGGGATCATCATATCACCTTCATCAAAGTCACGTCTTGCACCATATTGAACTATAAAACAATTACTTGCAAATTCATTAGTCCAATTTGGTTATGTTGGTTATCAAACACCAAAATCCAAAGTAAATGGGTCTAGAGTCCATTTTTCTTACAACATCAAATGAGACTCGTCCATTTGATATTTGATCCTTATGAACAAGACATGTTTAGTACTCTCTCTATTTTAAATTATTAAGATGTTTTGATTTTTCTAGATTCATATCTTTTGCTATACACTTAGATATATAATATGTCTAGATTCATAACAAAAACAACGTATCTTAAAAAGTCAAAACATCTTATAATTTGAAACGAATGAAGTAGATAATAATTCTTGGTCAACAGGCATTTCAAAAGTTTCTAAATCAACTCCTTGCACACCAAAAAAAAGAAAGATGCTACATCAGTTCAATAAGTAAAGACTGTCATTTATTCGCTTCGTAAGATTTTCAGGTCACATAGCGCTTCTCAGTTCCAATGGACGAGTTCATCTATGTTTTCTAATCTTTGTCATTAGTAAATAAATTAATAATTCAGTATGTTATATTATTACTTAGTAATTATAATGACAATATTAGTTTTGATAAGTGTTAATATGGTGACTAATATATGTTTTGTGTGCCAATTAGGGTAGTAGTAGTGCTAATTAACATATTTTATGTTTAATTAGTGATTATCATATGGCAAGATTAGTGTTAGTGCATAGTTATTACTATCTTTATTCCATTCTAAATTGCAAGTTGTTTTAGCTTGTTTTAGGCTCATAACTTTCCGTGTGCATCTAGACATACATCATATCTAGGTGCATAGCTAAAGCCATGTACATAGAAAAGCTAGAAAGAGTAGTGTATAATTAGTTATCGTTATTTTAAAATAATAAATATATTAGTCAACTATTCACATTTCATCCATCCAACCAAACAAGAAAAGCTTGTCTTATCCATCTAGCCAAACAGGAAGTATTGATGAGCTCATCCTGAATCTATGGATGGACAAATCCCATCTAACTTTGCCAAAACCAAACTCACCCTAAAAGACAAAATCTCGTCTTGCGCTATCTTTACATAGTTACATATACAATGCAAATAGCAGCAGGTACACCAAAACAGTTCACTGTGCCTCCCCAAATGAAACTCTTTTGGTTGGCCACGACAAAACTATCGGACCAATCATTCAGCATGCTATAACCAAAGACTTACTTATACATGCATACAATCATACAAGATGTGTTGATTAATTTGTTCAAAACGACAATTCTTACTGTCTAGCCATCGCAGCCATAATCACAATGATCACGTTCTCTCTTCCCTGCCTAATCTCCACATTGTGACTTGAACAGACACTCAATGAACTTTGATGGCCTTTCCCCCAGAATAGGAATGGGCATCATGTGCAAGTGTCTGAGACATTTTTCAAGAATCAACAAGTTAATAGTAAAACAAAAATGGCGATCATGAGTTTGCAATAATATATATGATATGCAATCAATACTCATTTATGTTGATTTCAATTTCAAACAAAACACAAACAAATCATTAATACTATACTTCATATTGTCGCAAAAAATTACTACACTTCATCTTGATGTAGCATACTATTTCAACTTAATAGTGCACTCTTCTAGTGGCTAGTAGCTTAGTCGGAACACCCTCCTTGCTCGCTCTCCATCACCGTCCTCCTTGCTCGCTCTCCACCGTTCTCCTTCCTCGCTGTCCATCATTTACTCTTCTTGCTCTTTTATGCATGCTTGCATCACTCTCTTTTCTTATACCTCTACATGGATGATTGATAACTGTAAGGTCACCACCCTAATGGAAAAATATGGCCACAATATTCCTCCTACCCGCATAGCATGTCTTAGTAGCTTAACCAGAACACCCTCCTTGCTCACTCTCCATAACCGTTCTCCTTGCTCATTCTCCATCATTTACTCTTCTTGCTCTCTTGTGTATGCTTGCATCACTCTTTTCTTCTACCTCTACTTGGATGATTGATAACTGTAAAGTCACCACCCTAATGGAAAAATATGGCCACAATATTCGTCCTACCCACATAGCATGTCTTATATTCTTTTCACAAGCTTCAAGGTAGCTGCCTAGCCACAAGCAGCATCTTCTATTGCTCTAATTAGTCTTCAGTCATTGTAAAGAAAATCGGCATTCTTGAATCTAAACCAATAAACATGACAATAGCAAAATGCCAAAGGTAGCAGCACAGCAGAGAGTATGGAGCTGTGTATTTACCTGTTCTTGAGATTGGAAATACATGAATGGAGTGTAGAGTAGAAAATTTGAAACCCTTGATATGTATATATCAGCATATCTACAGGGGCGTACCCAGTGCAGAGAGCGCCCGCACTGTGCGGGGTCTGGGGAAGGGTGTCAGTGGCAAGCCTTACCCTCGCCGGTGCAATGCGAGGAGACCGCGACTCGAACCCGGGACCTTCCGGTCATAGGCTGTAAGATTCTATCGCTTGCACCAGGCCCGCCCTTCATCAGCATATCTACAGCAAATGCAAAATTAGTTGCATTCAGTTTGGAGTCCATACAACATTTTTCCTCACTGTCAAAAAAATTATAGCCACTCACTTTTCAATTTGCCTGGTCAGATGACTCTTATCCCATAGGCCAGCACGTGACAACCAACCCCATCTTAAGAGGGAAAAGAAAAACGTACTTGCTTAGCTTACTTTTCTAACAATTAAAGAGATAAATACCAGGAAATTTATGAACAAGACCGATAAATTGATTACATGGAAATTAAAATCATACGAATTGGAAATCAGAAGCAGAAATAGGTGCGATAATGTTTCAAAGCAGTTATTTATGTAAGAAATATATGGGATAATAGATCTGAACACCCAGATTTGAAGGATTTCCCAAATTCGCTACAAGAATAAGAATTTACATAGTGGTTGATGTACCTTTTATTGAAAAGTTCTCCATCTGCTTCTAGCATTGGCCCAATCTTTTCATCTAATCTTTGCATAACAATGAGCAACTTTTGCATACTTTCCATAAGCTCCTGGTCATCCATACAAGTTGCAGCAAGTGTCTGAAAAAAATGTATATCAGTGCAAGCATATTGATAACTTAACAATTCATACATGACAGCAGTGCACTGCTGAAAGTAATACAAATGTTAAAGTTTCAAACATCTGAAAAGGACATTCAACATGTTGGAGCTCACTAAAGCATCAGGCTTCACTCTAGTACCTGTGCAGGACGTGAATTAGAGCGCCTCTGCAGGGCCAGCCGAAGCTGGTTAAAAAGATCCCCCACACTTTCTTTTTGTTGTATAAGTGTAACAAGCTTTTCTTTCTGATCATGGCTTTTGACCAGTACATCAAACTGCAAACACAGAAGAGGAAATTGGTCAACAAGAGGCTACAACTCGATTGGCTACATAGCACCGACAGCATAACAAATTGTGGTCTATCTAGGTTTGCTTCCACATTAATTCAGAATCAACTGATGCATATACTTGATAATGGTCAGTATAAGTGTGTCATCAGCATATTGGAATTAAGGTGCTGTTTGGTTGATGCAGTGATAACGTAAATGTAAATGGTAACAGATCACACTGTAATCAGCGACGGAATGGGCGATCCCATTGATTGTTTGGTTTCCCCATGTAATGGTATCTGTTACCATGTGGAAGAAAAACAATTTGAATGAACCTTCCTGAATCTCGTCAGGTCTATGGCAACAATGTGCTCCGTCGTTCCTGATCTTTGCCATTGCAGGGGCAGGGTGGCAGGATTTTGGGATGGCGCACTCGCGATCCTCATAAAGGATTGCTGCAAAGCGTGGCAGCAGCGGCCCTCTTCCTACGCGCGCCGCCGGCTGACGCCACATGTCTGCAGAGCATGGTGGCGGCGTTTCCTGTCCTGCGTGCGCCGTCGGTCGTGGCGCATGGCAGCCACGGCGATCGCCGGTGAAAGCTGGAAGCTAGCACCCAGGAGGGATGGAAGAGGGAAGATGAAACGGGCGGAGTCATCCTCCTCCTTAGCACCGTCAGTTTTTCTTTTCTTTTCTTTTGTAATCGGAACCTGTGGTGTTATCTGTTTACGGTCAAAAGGGATCGTGATTGAATAGGACTGGTATCCGATACTGTGGAAATGGATTTAAGGATATCATGAAATAAACAAATGTAAGGGAATCTGATTGCAGCATGATCTGATAACGCCCAAAAATCACTGAACCAAACAGCACCTATTCGTGGTATACATGGTGCAGGCTGCTTCATGTAGTTATACCATTATATCACCAGTAGATAGTTTTATGCTTATGTAAGTAGTTTTTCTTCGGATGCGCAGAAGAGCCTGGTGCCATTTCATTAAATAGGAAAAAAAGGTATAAAGAAAAAACACTCAAAGATGATGCTCTAACCTCAAAGGCCACCACAAGTCCACAATGGTGGAATGTAAAATAAACTCAACACGGACAAATAAACGCAACACGGACAACAGAAAGATGGCCACAGCACATCACTACAGCACACAGTTAGAACCAGGGAGGGAGGACTATATTCACCCCATGACCAAGTTCCTAAGATCCCTAGTCCCAGCAGCACACCGGACAGTTCCTTCTTCAATCACCGTCCTAACCACCATATCATAGGAGTGGCATTGTTAAAAATGCAGTTGTTATGATGCTTCCACGGCTCCCAAGCAGCAAGGACAATAAGAGCGTATAGACACCAACTAAACTAAAACTGATCCAAGAAGTCACCCATATGAAATTACAAGGCAAGGCAAATCTAAGAGTCCTGATACAGTTATTCAAAATGAAATGAATTAAAGATGTTCTTGTCCAAAAATTCCTTTTAAGAAATTGGAAATGCAATGTGAGATGGAAAAATACCAGACAGAATCAATAAATGTTCAAGAGAAAGCTTCATCCTGCTAGTCGGAAATCAAAATGCTACTGTAATGCCTAATGATCTACATATTGTCATTATTTTTTTAATTAGTGAGAGAAGGTAAGCAAACTAACCTCATCCTCTAGTTCTCTGCAGATTAATGCCGTTCTCCATCGTAAATGAACTTTTGACTGGCTTACATCTGTGTAAATATGGTCCCCAACATATAATATCTCATCCCCATGAATGTCTAGTGATTTCTCAACCATCTGAGCACTACCACCAGAACATAAGCCACCTAAATACCCATTTCATAAAAGGGGTAGCAAGTCAGTCACAAAACTGGCAGTGGATAATAGACAAGAGCATATCGAAGAAAGAAACTAAGGTTGCAGAATCTAGTCTAGTGGCATAAGCAATTAAGCATAAAAGTTGGAGTAGCTCTCTTGTTTTATTCCCCAATCCAAACTCTCCCTTCTCCATTTCAGAATAAAAATGAAAAAAAAAATCATATCTGCACTAAAGAAAGAGAAGATCCAAGCACCTAAATGGGAAAACAACATGGTGCCTGCACATCAGAACACCCAAACTTCTGCACAACAAAGACCAACATGTGGTTCTGCTGTTGATAAGCAATGATGTTACAATTTTCTCTAAAAAAAGGAACAAGTCCACTTTTTGGCCCCTCAACTCTTGAGTTTGTCTAATTTTGACCCCACCTGCAAAACCAGGTAATCTTGGCACCTCAACTACCAATACCTTTCAATTTTGGCCCCTCAGCCTAGTTTTGGTGGTTTTCCGGTAACTCGGGCCTAGCATGGGCCCATATGTAAGACACTCCATCTTTCTCTCTCTCTCTCCCTCCTTTTCTCACCACCACTGTCCCCATCTCCTTCCCTCCTCTGTCTATTTGCCACTGCCGCCTCTCTCCCACTCCACCGTCCACAGCACCACGTCCAACTGTACCAAAGGAGACATGCTCTCGGAGCCGTCCACCTCCTCTTTATCTTCTCCACCAGTCCTCCATCGCAGCCTCCTCCTTCCCTCATCCAGCGCACAGCGAGATTGCCCTCACAGCTGTCCCCATGTCCAATGGTGCTCCATGGCATGGGGGGTGCCCATTCTCTCTCTTGGCCACCCAGGGCATGCAGGCCATGGGCGGAAACTTGAATTGGCGTAGCTAGGGGCTGCATCGAGCTCGGCCATGGCACGTCTCCTGTCTCTCCATCTCTCTGGTGATGAGCAAGGGACAGTCTGCAGCAGCACACAAGTATGAGGCGGCGGGGTGGTCCGCACTATTAAGTTGCATGCACTGACCAATTCAACCCAAAAGCTTAAGCTGATGGGGAGAGGTGGGCAAATTCACTTACATTCCAACACCCCCCTCACGTCGAGGCTCCCTCAGGCCTCAGACGTGGAATAGGAGCGAGCATCAATTATTTTATTTAATTGCGACTCTAGCCTACCCCAACTTGTTTGGGACTTAAAGGCTTTGTTGTTGTTGTTGTTGTTGTTGCGCTAACCAGGATTCGAACTCGAGACCTCTGGCTTTATACCATATTAAGTTGCATGCACCGACCAATTCAACCCAAAAGCTTAAGCTGATGGGGAGAGGTGGACAATTCACTTATATTCCAACACACACAGCAGAGGTTAGTGCAGCGGCGCAAAAGCAAGCACTCTGGACATAGCTATGGGAAGTGGCGTTGGGAGAGAGGGAGGTGGGGAGGGAGAGATGGAGCATATGACAGGTGGGCCCAAGCTAATTGAAAACCACCACAACCAGACCGAGGGGTAAAAACTGAACAGCATTGAAAGTTGAGGTGCCAAATTTACTAGTTTTGTAGTTTGGGGTTAAAAATAGACAAACATAAGAGTTGAGGGGCCAAAAATGGATTTGTTCCCAAAAATATGATGTCGGAACTATAAATCATCTTAATTAGATAGGGAAGCTACCATGAAGAATGCCCCCCCCCTCCTTAAATTTTTTTCCTTTAAGTTCTATTTTTGGTTTCCATTCATTGAGTTTTGAAGAAAAATGAACATAATGCTACAACATAATACATATTCACAGTTTGAAACGAAACATGTTCCTTCACAGTGACAGATAAAGAATTATTGAAGGTTCTATTAGTTACTGGTTCACAACAGTAACGGCGCGAAGAATTGGACCTGACTTTACTTTAAAACAGGGGCGCATCAGTCCATCATCTGTTACAACCTCATATAATGGATGTGAAAGCTGGAAAAACTCTGGCTTCCTTGCGGAGACTATAACCTATAGTAAGAAAGAATCAATGGATATTAATGAAGTTTCCAGTATGTTGTAAGCAATGACTGTTAAACAGTCACTTCTACAAAGCTGGTATAAGGGAGAGAGATAAACTTACCATTTCAAAAAGATCTCTCCATCCCACATCATTAGGAAGAAAGCGATTGGATGCATGATTCATCATTTTGTTTGTATAATGGTAATCTGAATTAGTAATGAGAAGCAACTTTTTTCCAGCCTGATAGATTGGAAAGCCAGCATATCAGTACAATGGTTCTATTACTTTGAATTGATCATACGGCACCATAAGGTGGAAATGTGCTAACCTCTTTTTGATCAAGAAGAGCTAAAGGAAGTTCTGGATCAGGCTCTACAAACCGCTCAGGCTCAGCCATTATTTCTCTCCACATTTCAACCAGCTAAAGAAGTTTTCAGAAAAAAAAAATAGTCATATATCATAATCATATTATGATTAACCGAAGAGTACCTTAAGTTGGCCTTCTACATGTGCTCGAAAAAGTGCTTTGGAAACAGCCTGGAAAAAAGGTACACCAAACTTCGTTTATTACATAGCAAAAGTGGGCAAGGACAAATGTTCCACAAGTCAGAAGAGACATTGCTTGGTGGGCGGACCTTTTTTTTCTTTCTGTTTCTGTATAGACTAATTCTTATTTTTAATATAATATAGTAAAAGCAGGTCTCTACGCTGATGTAATGCCTTCAAAGAGACGAAAAGGAAACAGCAGTGCTCATTACATTGTACAGTCCTTTGTAATCCAATGGCCCAAGTTCAGCTGGCACCAATCCCTGATCTAACTTGTCGACCATCTGAAGAAAATAGTAATATCCAGGTTCAGTCCAAACTTGAGAAATGTTTAGTGTGAGAGATCACATGCAAATTCAGAATGTCTAGTTGTCTACATAATCATTTGAAAAACAATACAACTACTCCCTGAATGAATCAAAACAGGATTGATTGTGTTGATGTGTATTGATTTGGAATAAATACATTCAGATTTCTGAGCACACATCATGTTTCTTTGATGGGCACCTAATTGTGATTTATTCTGCCGAGGACAAATCAAAAGCCAATGTATTACCAACTTCTGTTTGATGCTACTACAGACCCCACTACTAACAAACGGATCTGGTTGTTAGATCATCAAGAGACATGTCTACACTTACATCTATATATTAAATTAATTTCCAAATCAGTGAGGTAAAATATGGCCAAACTCCAAGTCCTTAGAAGGCAAAGGCGCAGTTATTCAAGGATGAAAGAGCAGAGAACACCAAACTACTAGCAAAAATATTTCAGCTGGCTTGCTTAGCATAGTATCTCATCTGAACTTGTACCATTTCTGCAACTCTTGCCAAGTCTTTAGCTAATCTAGACAAATACTTAGCTTCTGGAAAATATAACTCAGTCACTTGCAAATCAACAGAGAAACCATTAGCTCCCTGGGTATGCTAATGAGAAAGATGGACATGGACTTAAATAGTTGAGATGTCAAGTGACATCACATCACATAAACATTGAAATGACTATATCATATAAAAGGAAGAGGTAAGGAAACCTGCATGAACATGACAGCTTCTGAAACAGAGAAAAGGGTGTTAAGGAACTCCCATCGACTTTCTTTCTGCAGGTCCACCAATTCTCTTCCATATATTTCACTATTCAAAGACATGAATTAGAGTTCTCATATCTGGGGCCCAGAAACTTTGACGAAATGTGTTACCTATACCTCACAGCACGAGTGGAAAGCATCTGGGTACCATGCATGGCCCTCTTAACATAGCCAAATAGATCAGCTTTAACGAAGTTTCCCTTCTCTTTATCAATAACAAGACCTCTTATGACCTGTGACACAGCAATTGTATCACTAGAGGTGATGTATGTGCTTCAAGGTATTATGAAAGAAGTGCACAGCAGGGCACTACCAGGTCAGGGTCAAATTTAAGGTCATCTACTGGGAAACCCATGCTCTTGAGGTTGTCCATCCCATAGTCATATGCACGTCCTTCCCAGGTCTGCAGAAATCACATATGTGATTACCATAATATTTGCATTGAGCAAAATTATACTAGCTCCAATCCAAATATAAGCCCTAGGTTTTATCCTATGTCAAACTATTATTTTAACTTTGACCATCAATAGCTAAAATTCATATACATTGACAACATAAGACTGATGTTAGTAGATTCATCATGAAAGAATACTCTCGCGATATATAACCCTTCATATTTGAATTTGACACAACATATTTACATAGAAATTAAGTCAGTGTACTAATGTGAATATAGGGATTGGGGGGAATATTTATATCTAAAATTATCTACATTACAACACATTGAAAACTCACAGCAACTAACCCCTGACATGAACTTTATGAACCAAAAATTAAAGGAAAAACAACTTTAATTGGCACTTGAAATTTAGATCACCCATACGCTATCCTTTGGAGTTACCAGTCAAATCAGCTCAACATATTTACAGAGTTTTCTAAAAGTGCAACCCCTGGTATCAGAAAAGTTTATAGGCGAATCAAGAAAATGGGCCATGAAGTACCATCACATTGTAATGAATTAATGTATAATCCATATCGTAGCCAACCGAAGGGCGGGCCTAGTGCAAGCGGTAGAGTCTTATTGCCTGTGACCGGAAGGTCCCGGGTTCGAGTCGCGGTCTTCTCGCATTGCACAGGGGAGGGTAAGGCTTGCCACTGACACCCTTCCTCGACCCCGCACAAAGCGGGAGGTCTCTGCACTGGGTACGCCCATATCGTAGCCAACCACACTGATAGATTGAAGATTTAGTGTCCTGGTGCAGAAAATTCCGCGAGGAGAGTGGCTTACTGAAAATGGGGCCTGCATTTTTAGAAAACTGATGTTAGTATTGTTTTCGGAAGGCTGACTGGTTTTGTCATCGTGATGATACTCAAACAAGATATGATCGGCAAAGGGCAACCAAAAATGGAAGTTCAAGAACAAAGTGCTAGAATGTTAGCAGATAGAATATAATTGCAAAATTAATTCTGATTTACAATGAAAATAGTATTAGCGAGTTTGATTATAGGTTGTCTTTTAAAAGAACATATGCTTTTGTCTATTCCTCATTTCCTTGGAATGTGTTAGCATTTCCATGATCAATGTATTCACCAAAGTTATATTCCATTGAATGTGGAGCTTTTGTTGCTAGAAAGGCATGTCTCTTGTATCTTAATTCTTAATCATAAAAAAGGGAACGCCTTGTCAAGGACCATCATGCAAACAAATTTATCAAACCATTTGACAACAGTTATCTTGGGATGCATTTTATAGTAAATCTTTTTCTTTTTTCTCGAACACGCAGGAGAGCTGTGTATCTTTGTATTAAGGAGAAAGAGGGTCCAGAACCCTTACAACACACACCCACACACCCTTGATTTTTTGCTTGTGAATTTGTGATTACATTAGTGCCCTTTTCTTACAAGCATTTTACAGTAAATCTTAAAATAGTCAAATCACATATAGTTTTGTTGAGTCCTGTCGGTGCAGAAAGTGACCAACACGTAAATATTTGTAGTTTTGTCGTACGTTGTAATCGGATGTGGCCTAGCACTCAATGACACAGGGTTTATACTGGTTCAGGCAACGTGCCCTACGTCCAGTTTGAGTCGGTCGGTGACTTTATTCCTGAGCCCAGGTGCTCGAAGTTTAATGTGGGGTTACAAACGGAAGGGAGTAATATGGGGTGGTGCAAGAGGTCCGGTCGGACTCTGGTCTGAAGGGCCGAGAGTGACGGGAGCTCCGCTATGTGCTAAGTGTTCGAGCGTGCGCTCTGTGTAGCTTTAGAGTGTCTAAAGCTAGCAGAGGGCGAATCGATGCGAGTGAACTGGTCCTCCTGGAGTTGATCGATCTCCCCTATTGGGAGAGAGCGCGTCCCCTTTTATAGATGAAGGGGACGGTCTTACAAGAGAGAGAGAGAGAGGAGTATGTATGCTACTAAGTCTTTGTTGCCCACGTCGTCGGGTACAAGACGATTGCAGGCGCCATAACACTGTTGATGTTAGACGCATGTGGGAGGTTTTTACCGTGTTCTCCATGTAGGGAAAATGATGGTGCCTACAACACTGTTGATGCCCAGAGGCATGTGGGGGGAGCCTTACCGTGTTTGTAATGGTATGGGAGTTGATGGCGCCCACAACACTGCTTGGGTTCTGACATGCCTGGAAGGTTGCAGGGCACCCTTCTGATATGTCCTGTCGGTACTGCAGGTGTACAGGGTATGGTCCTCGGTATTGCGGTTGACTTGAGTGTCCTGCTTTACCTGCTCCGCCCGTTACCTGGTCCTCACCGAGCGGGCGTCCCCGATCGGTTGGTCCCAGTCGGCTCCGACTACGCCAGTCGGAGAAGAGCTATAAACAGAGGTTTGGTGTATCCCCGGTCGGAGACGCGGGTCAAAGTCGGAAGCGACTCTGGCCAGGCCTTCTAGTCGGAGAGGCGGGCCAGAGTCGGAAGCGAGCGTGTTCCTCCTCGGCCAGGCCTTCCGATCGGAGAGGCGGGCCAGAGTCGGAAGCGAGCGTTGTTCCTTCTCGGCCAGGCCTTCCGGTTGGAGAGGCGGGCCGGAGTCGGAAGCGAGGCCTTCCGGTCGTAGAGGTAGGCCAGAGTCGGAAGCAGGCGCCATTCCTCTTTGTCCAGGCCTTCCGGTTGGAGACTAGATCGCCCTTCTGGCCTGTCGTTAGGTATTTGGGCCGGCACAGGAGTTGCGCGTCGTTCGCAATGTCGTCTGCTGGGCTGAGTTTTTGCTGGGAAGCAGGTCCATGAGGGACCCCGGGTTTATAAACCCGACAGGAGCCCCTGAGCCCTCGGGCGATTCCGGTAGAATCGTCTGGGGGATTTTTGTCTTGACAGCGGGTGCGCTGGCGCACCCACGGGTGTAGCCCCCGGGTGATTTGGGTAGAATTGTCCGGGGTTTTTTTCCGTGTTGCCAGCGGGGGAATTTTTTTGTTTTGACAGTGGGTGCGTCCCCGGGTGATTCGGGTAGAATCACCTGGGGGGTTTTTGTCAGCGGCACGTGTGTGTACATCTTGGTGGGCGCAGCTTCTTTCCAGTTTCTGACCCATCGTTCCCAGGAGCGTGGTTCCAAGCGTTTGGTCATGGCCGAGGGACAGCCGAGGGATCGGGCGAGATGGACTCACGGACCTAGGTGTCGGGCGCAGCCGAGGGATCGGGCGAGTTGGAGTCGCGGATCCGGGTGCTGTGCGCAATGAGGGATCGGACGCGTCGGAGTCGTGGATCCAAGCATCGGACGTGCCGAGGGATCGGGCGAGCCGGAGTCACGGATCCAGGCACTAGGTGCAACAAGGGATTGGACGAGCCGAAGTCGTGATCCAGGCATCGGACGTGCCGAAGCATTTGGATGTAGGCGCTGTGCGCAACGAGGGATCGGGCGAGCTGGAGTCACGGATCCAGGCGCTGGGCGCAACGAGGGATCGGGCGAGCCGGAGTCGCGGATCTAGGCATCGGACGTGCCGAGGCATTTGGATGCAGGCGCTGTGCGCAACGAGGGATCAGGCGAATCAGAGTCGTGGATCTAGGCATCGGGCGCGCCGTGGGCGTTTGGATGCAGGCGCTACGCGCAACGAGGAATCGGGCGAGTCGGAGTCATGGATTCAGGCGTTGGGCGCGCCGTGGGATCAGGCGAGTCAGAGTCGCGGACCCAGGCGCAGCCAAGGCATTGGGCGTCTTGAGCCCCTGAGCCCCGTTGGGCTTGGTAGGGGTCAGTTGAGTTTCGTGCGTTACCCCGTCCACGGTTTGTCACAACCAGAGGGACTGAGCTAACGTCGCTTGCCTCGATGGCTCGAGTGACGCGCTTGGTTAGCTCGCTAACGGGCACGTTCGAGTGAAATCCGGGTCGATCGTTCATGACGGGGTCGGCATAGCCCTCATGTGGCATTCCACTGCTCCTTAACCTGCGTCCCGGCAGATGCCTGGGTCGTTCTGGAGACTGACCCGGGTGGCCCGCTGGCCTCCCCTCGATGGAGATTCTGTGGGATGGCTCGAGGTTAGGATCGAACGAGAAGGTTGAGATGACCCTATCTGCTTCGGGGCAGACTGGGTGAGGGCCGCTCGGGGCTCATCTGTGTTTTCTCCCCTGGCTCTGTTTGACGCAAGGCGGCCTCGAGCCCTTCATGGACCGGCCTTCGAACCCCGGTCGGTCGTTGCTCATGTTGAATGAGACAACTGCCGCTTCGTGACGCAACACGGAGCGTTGTGATGCATTTAACTGCATATGCGATGCCTCGGATGTATGGAATGAATGAATGCGTGCATAGATGAATGTGTGAATGTGTTTGCATGAATGTATAAATGACAATAGATGAATGAATGATCATATAAAGAAATAGTAGGGTTTGGTAATGTTACCTTGATGACTCGAGTGACGGGGTTTGAAGGAGCTCCTATCGGATGTCCGACCGGGATCCACGCTCGTCATTCGTGACGGAGTCGGCATGGCCCACATGGGGTGTCCCTCTGCTCCTTACCTATCTCTTGGCGTTTGCTTGAGCCATCTGATCGACTCAGGAAGCCCGTTGGTCTCTCTGGGTGGAGATCTCGTAGTTTGGGCCTTTTCATGTTCCGCCTGGGAAGGCGGAGGGCCGCCTACGTGCAGTGGCGCCTTGTTTCTCGCGTCCGGCATGCGGTAGTGGTGGGCCATACCCAGGCCACATCCTGTCTAACCAGGCGCCGTTCCGTCGGGCAGGTTGCGTCCCATCGGTTGGGGCGTGTCCTATCGTTTCCCATCCGAATTGAATGGGGGAGGCAGAGGATTTCTCGCCTCAATCCTTCGCCTTTCCCGCTGCGCCTCCTCCTTAAATAGGGGAAGGGAGAAGGCTTCTCGCCGCAATCCTTTGCCTATTCTCCAACTGCTGCCTCTCCTCCTTCCTTCTCGCTAAGAGCGCTTGTGTGCCACGGCGGTTCCTAAGTGAGAGAGAGGGTAAGCGAGGGGGAGAACTCACAGATCCGTTTGTGAATCCGGAGCGCAATGTTGAGCTGGAGGCCACCCGAGGCGGTGCTGGCCGCCTTCACCGAGAAGGGGCTGCTTCCGCCGAAGGAAGTGGCGCACTAGATCCTGTGCGGGCTCCTTGATGAGTGGGACATGGAGCTGCAGCACCTCAATCCGACTAGGGTGCTATGTGTCACCGGCTTCATCACCGTCTACGAGGCTTTCTTCGGGATGGAGCCATACATAGATTCTTTCTGGTGGATCTTCACCGGGCAAGCCTTGTCGGCGGGGAAGCCGCCCAGGACCGTGCCGGTGGGGGTTTTCACCCCTACAGCTGCTTAGGTCGGCCAGTTCATAAAGTTTGATGAGATGTTAGAGACATCCTCCAGCCATGGTGGCCATAGTGTGGTAGGTAGTGCCTCTATCCAGGGGCTACCCTGTCTGTATGGGAAAGTCTGGAGCTTCATGTTCTGCTGAGCATGTATGGGCGCGACGCCCTTGAGGTACCCGTTGCGCTCGCTGAAGTCGAGGGAGCGGAACCGGGCGGGGTCCTTGCGAGGGTGATTGAAGGCGTGCATCAAGAAGACATCACCCAGCCTGCAGATGGAGTGGAGGTCGGGTCGGAAGCTCTGTCCGAGCCGAGCGCTGCCCCGTCGGAGGGCGAGCAGCCTTTATCTTCGCTGGTCGTGTCGTCAGCCGATGCCACCAGGCGGCCATAGTAGAAGTAGCCAACAAATGTAATAGTTTAAGTTCATGGGGGAGCCCTCATGTGAACAGTTGTTTTGACGAATACATCAATTTCCGTTTTGTGATGAATTACTTCGTTCGGGAAAGCTTGTCCTGTCCGTTCCTTATTTTACCTTAGCATAGCTTTGTTTTTATTCTT